GAGAGAGAGAGAGAGAGAGAGAGAGAGAGAGAGAGAGAGAGAGAGAGAGGTGGAAAGCTTGAGCAGTGGAACTTCGTATGCACTTTTCTCGACTGGTGTGACAGCAGGTACGTCAGATTGTCGATGAGGAAGTTACGTTCAATCCGATAATTCGGGTCGGTTATTGAGAACGGCTGCTTAGGCCACAGAAGTCGGTGAAATTAACAGCTGCTGCCTTCTGCCATGTCGTAAATTGGAAGCGATAACGAGTATGTATTTCTTTGCCCCCTCATCAAACTCCTCTCTCCCATCAGAATCTCTCAGAAAGTTTTCCCTTTTTGTTTTCGTCCTGTGACGAAAATGAACTTTTTGGGTTGTTTCTCCCTCTCATATTCGCAGTACTGCCTCGCCTCATGACATTGTCGCTCACCTTCATTTTTCTCTTTCTCCTCTCTGTTGTCAGTCGTCATCATATCTCCGGAACCTGCTTGATGCTTTGTGCATCCATGGTGTGTGCGATAGCAATCTGCTGTCGAGCAAATGCGGTGTATCCGTGGAACCGTTCACAAGTGTGCGACATTCTCGTTTGTCCTCAGCTGGCTGTCTAAGACGCTCGCCCCACAAGTGTTTCTGTGAGCGATCGCTCCTTGTGATTCACCGTGCGGGTCTGAGCGGTCGCAGAAGTGAGTCCTGCAGTCGCAAGCGGAGGATGCAATCAATTGGCTGCTCGCTTATTTTATGTGAGGGGCAGTTGATGGCAGAGCAACGCATGTGTTTCTAGCGATTGGGTACTGCGAATCAGGAGTATAAAGAGCGCGCGGCCGCACCGGGCACATGTCATCGCAGAGGAGGACGCGACAAACGATATGTGTGCGACACGCTGATCCGCAATTGGCGAACACTGCGATAGGTTACTTGTTGACAATGCGCACGTGCAGTTCATCGGTGTTCGCCAATTGCGGATGAGCGTGTCGCACACGTATCGTTTGTCGGTGTAAAGCGCCTATCCCAGGTGGGACCGGTCGCTTAAGTGGGGACCGGTCGCCGGATCGACGTGTCGGCCGTTTGGTGGCGTAAAGCTTTAGTTGGGGCCCGTCGCTTACGTGTGTCGCCGGGATCAGCGTGTCGCACACGTACCGTCTGGTGGCGTAAAGCTTGAGTGGGGACCGGTCGCTCTGGTGTTGGGAGCGGACAACCGGGATGCAATGGGAGCTCATAGTCCGTCCTCACATACAAGTCCGTGACGCGGTCGCTCAGGTATTGCGAGTGACCTTGTCCCTTTCGTCTAGGGGGACAGGACATCGCTTTTCCATGGCGAAGACACGGGTTCAAAGCCCGGAATATATATGATACCATATCTATCATGTGGTTGCAAGTTTTGCGGTGCTTGTGTGCGACTTTCGGCCGCCGCACTTTGTTTGTCGCTCTATCGCACGTGGAGGTGCTCTCCTTGCGCGCCACACTGTGCTGAAGAATAGGAGAAAACAAATTCCTCTCTCCTTGTGCGCCTGAGTGGCAACTTGTTGAGCTCCGCGCCAAGCGGACTGACGGCGTGAGCCTGACGGTCGGGCGGCGGCACTGTACACTCACTCGTCATCACCCGCTTCGCGCGAGAAACTTGCCTACACGCCTCTTGTCTCCCTCCCTCCCTCCCTCCCTCCCTCACTTCGCTATCAAGTCGAGGTTGCAGTGTCGAAAAACCCCCATTTGGCGGGAAACATTTGTCATGCCGGTGTCAGTCTGGGCATAGCGTGGGGTGTGAGTGAGATGGAGGCGGCGTGGGGTGAAAGGCATCAATCACGTTGTGTGGGTGTGTCTGGACTTTTTCAGGGTAAGTGGAGGGGATTGCTTATCTTCCCGATTACGGGGAACTGCTCGCGAGGTTCCGCCACGAACGATACCTAATGATAGGAGTTGGAATGAGAGAGGTCGTGATTGATTGACTGACTGATTGACGGGTCGGTGTGCAATACGTTCGTCAAACCTTGGTTAGCTTGATTATTGATTAGATGAACTGATGGCTTGATTAGATTGAGAACAGATATGTCGATCAGTCACTCAGTCATATCAATGCTCAATCTATCAATACCCTTGTCTGTGGGGCCTAATCGGGGATGAGCTATTCTCCGTGGAAGAAACGTAAGAAATGAACAATGGACTCGCGATGTGTAAAAGGTATATTAATCGAGTAGTGCTGGCAAGGTTTAATAATGATAAGGGGAATGTCGTAGATTCGTTCGACATAGTCCTGCTGCGTTTGTGTAAGCGGTACAGATTCATTGATTGGGCGATGTTGTGGCAGACTTGATGAGGACCGGACCGGTTCGCGCTGGTCGCGAAGGAAGAATGAGCAAATATAGTAGTACAAGTAAATGGTATCTTCTTTTCCTGTTTAATGGAAAAAGGAAGAACCGAATACAAAAAGCTGCTTTGGCATTGGCATGATATTTCCTATGTAATGAAGGGTCGAAAGGCCCATTCTTTCTACCGACTGGCTGCTCATGAGCATTTACAGTAATTTATCCGCCACCCTGTGGCCGCTGCCGTGCATCTTAGGTGGTGGGTACGCACACTAACACTTTTCAAAATGCATCTGACTGCAATTACGGCCAGACCTGCACGAATCTGACAGCAATCACGTCCAGAGCAATGCAAAAAAGCCCTAGTGTCAGTATGCCCTCATTCGTTTGTTTCCTTGCCGTCGTGTGCGCAATGACGACCGCAATAGCATACTGCGCCTCGCTCCACTGCACAACATTCTCAAGACATCAAAAGCGTCGAATGTTGTCTGGAGCTCATAACGGGGTCCCAGGACATCAAAAGCGTTGGATCAGTCCGAATGCATCGGGTCGAGATACAGTCCGAATGCATCGGGTTGAATGTTGTCTAGCGGAGCGAGGCCGAATATCACAGTAATACCGTGTAGCACTCGCTGCAGGCGTCAATGGTAATCAGCATTCTGAGGCCGTGGATCCTGCAGTGGATTCGACCCGCCGCATTCATAAGTCTGTTTGCGTGCATGTACGGATTGAGAGGACACGTGTAAGGCTCGCAATGCCCGCGTGAATATCTTCCTAGAACGGTTGCCTCTCAGCGAGTGGCGTGAAGGTGCGGATGTATCCAGCACATGTCAGCGGGGCAGGCGAGAAGGGGTGGAAGATAGAGAGAAGCGGGAGGTGAATCCAGTTGGGGGAGAGGGAAGGAAGGACGTCTAGGTGAGGATCTATCCAGGGAGGATTTGGAGTGGCACCCCGGCGGGTAGAGGGTGTCCCGACTGGCGGGAGCGCGCAGGAGAGGG